TTGTCTGCTACAGCGCGTTGTTGCTGGCCGGAGGTCTACAGGGCATTGTTGCTGGCCTAAGGTGGTCTGCAGGGCATTGTTGCTGGCCTGAGGTGGTCTGCAGGGCATTGTTGCTGACCTGAGATCTGCAGGGCATATTTGCTGGCCTGAGGTGGTCTGCAGGGCATTGTTGCTATCTGAGGTCTGGCATTCAAAGAATGCATTGGTGCTGGTCTATGGCCAGCTGAAAGTAACATCCTACAGGCCAGACATAGCACAACTGAGCCATCAAATAAAGACACAGGGATCGTGTTAAAACTGTAAGTCCAGTATACTTTTCAGCACATGTAAATATGAATATGGTTTATGTGTGCACTAGTTATAATTTTTTTTCACTAATAGATGTGCTGCTAATGGCAAGGTAAACACATAAAAAAATGTGAGTTTAACTTACTATTAGCAGTACAGCTATGAGTGGAAAAATTGAAATGTATCTAACACTATGGCGTGCTATTGTGACTGACACCCGGTTGTCTGATGGTTTCAGAAATGGCACTTGGTGTGCAAAAGGTTGCTGACCCCTGCACTACACTATAGCCTCTATACTTTAACCATAGAAGCATTTGATATATATGAATGCAATATGTAGCATTTGACAGCTGAGAATGTCAAATGGGCGTAGCGAGCCGTGACGTCATGGCTCGCTCCGCCCATCTGTTGACTTTCAAACTGAATGTCATTTTTTTGTGGCTAGTTTTCGTCGGATTCGTGTGGTCGTCTGCGGCAGGACTTTTTTTATTTCGGCGGGTTGGCGGGGGTGCTGCATCCTGATCCTGACTCTGGATTACATCGATGGAGCCATTTAAAAAAAAAATAAATTATTAAAGGAATAGTCAAAAATTGACTGTTTGTTTGTTTTTCAATTAAAGGATTTTGTCAAAAGTCTGGACTTTTTACTAACTATTTGATTTAACTAAAAAAAAAAAGCCTGAGGTTCCCCCCCAATTCATACCAGACCCTTTAGGTCTGGTAGGAATGTTAGGAGAATGCCAATTCAAAAGCAAAGGAAAAAAAAACTTTACTCTCCCTGCCCTGGAATAGAACCTGCGACCTTATCAATGGCAATCCTGTGCTTTAATCACTACACTATAGCCACTATTTAGTGAAAAATTAACTGTTTTTTTTTTTCAATTAAAGGATTTTGTCAAAAGTCTGGACTTTTTACTAACTATTTGATTTAACCCTTTAGTGAATGGGTAGGGGTACAAGTACCCCTTACTCGTTCACATGGGGGAGGCGGCATCTGGGTGCCCCCTTAAAGGGATACCCCGATGCAAATAAGCCCCCTTGCCCGCAGACCCCCACAACCACCGGGTAAGGGTTGTGGGGAAGAGGCCCTTGTCCCCATCGGCATGGGGACACCCTCCCAATGCCGAGGGCACTTGGCCTGGTTTAGGTCAATAGGAGAATGCCAAATCAAAAGGAAAAAAAAAAGAAAATCTTTATCCACCTGTCCTCTAACCTCTACGCTATTGCTTCTGTACTTTAACTATAGAAATGTTGTAGAAGGTAAATGTTTTTTCCTAATGTCGTTTTGCTGCAATGAAATTCGTCCAATAATGAATTTCGGGAAATCGGGAATTTCGGATTCGTTTGCATTCGTCTTAGCTTTAATTCGGAATTCGGATGCATCCGAATCTCCGAATTTCCGAAAATTCATCCAAAACGAATTTCGGAACGAACCGAATCGCACATGTCTATTGAACAACATGACAAGATTTTTTTTTTAATACGAAATACGGATCCGCTGCTGCTGAGGGTTGCATTACAATACACAGGCAGGAAATACGAAATTCCATTGACGGAATTGCATTCCGTTACGGACATTCGTTATATTGAAGTTAAAAAGCAAAGTACATTTGTTAATATATTGGAGTTGATGGTAGTTTTTTTTTTATACGAAATACGAAATTCGGATCCGGAATCCGTTAACGGAATTCGTATTTCGGATAAAAAAACAACTACCACATCGACTCCAATATTAACAAAGGTATTTTTGCTTTTTAACTTCATCATAACGAATGTTCGTACAGTTACGAAAATGTGCCGAAACTAACGAAAATTCATATTTCGTACGAATCCGAATTGAGTTTCGGACACGAATTACGAAATACGAAATAACGGATATTCCGAAATGGAACGAAACGGAACTAATTTTTTGACGGAGCACAAGTCTACTGACAACACATCTCCTGGAAACTTTATTAGCAATAACTCCCACAGTGCTCAGGTTATTTTAAGTCTACTGTAGAGTGTTCAAACTCCTCCTGGTGTATTTTGCAAAATGTTAATTAAAACACATCTAAACCCAGAAACAAAAATGTATAATATTACATCCTACTAGTCCATAGATTTGATGGCTGTATTATTTTTCTTTTATTAGGCTATTTTTTGTTGTTTCCGATTTTGCCAGTAATAAACCTCCTGTCCGTGGGTGGCAATGCTCACCTTCCTGTATTGTATCAATTGAGAAGTAGCAACATTGTCACCATAGGACAGCACTATATAACACCTTCCCTCTTCTCTTCCATAAGATAAGTGTGTGTTTTATACTCCACATATATAGCTGGTAACAATGCAACTGAAAAAAGTGCAGCACAGGCTGAGAGTACAGAAAGTTATCAGCTCCCAAGATTTCTGGCAGGCTCAATACATATATTTTGCACTTACCAACCAGATATAACAAAATATTTTCAATGTTATGTTTCACAAAGAGAAATTCACTATGCATTTTTACATATATTTTAAATTATAAATCCGGCAGGGAGAGTGTGGACCTACTCTAGAAACACAGGTATCTGCTTGCTATTATGAAATATCTTTTCAGTTGTGAAAATTCTCCATACAATCCATTCTCCCTTATCCCCACCCTCAATCTTGCCATAGGTTTCAGAATATTACATATTTATTCATTCTTGTGTCTCTAGGATAAAAATAACCCACACACTGAATACAATATGACCAACTTGGTGAACAGCACTCTACAGATCTTCTTTGCTGGTGTGGAGACCACAAGCTCAACACTGACCTATGCTCTCCATATTTTTATGAAATATCCCGAAGTGCTTGGTGTGTATTACAGTCTATGTTGTTCTTTTCTTCACGAGAATGTAGGGTAAGCTTATTTTTTTATGTAACAGAATATGGCTGCAAATAAAAGGTCTAGTAAAAGATCTTGAACTTCAAAACATTTTTCTTAAATATATGCATTAGTATTCACATTCCATGTATATTTTCTGTGTGTTAAATTATACAACAGTCACTAGCAACTGTCTTACAGCCAAAGTCTACAAAGAGATTGAACATGTCATTGGACATGATCGGATTCCCAAAGTGCAAGACCGAAACCAAATGCCATTCACAGAAGCTGTGGTCCATGAAATACAGCGATTTATTGACCTGATTCCTATGGGCATGCCTCGAAAAACTACAAGCGATGTGGAATTTAGAGGGTACTTCTTACCCAAGGTAGATGTCTTACATTAGGATCTTGTGACTTAGATACCTTATAAATCATGTAGTTACCTTGCATGGGCTGATGGAGGTCTGGAGACTCCGGCTAAGGGTGAACATATACCATGTTGCCTTAAAACTCTAATAAAACCTAAAACTATATTGCCTACAAAGATTGGGGGACATAGCGGTGAAGAACACATTTTTGTCATGTTTGCACAAATTTACAACAATTACATCATGTACCTCACTGAGTTGGAGGTGCCATCAGTAATGTTGCTTGATTATTGGAAAATAAAGTGATCTGTAAGTCCCTTTGTGTAGAGGCAGCTCATTCCACCAACATATGGCACAAAGTTATTTTGTATAAGACAACGGTGTGCTTGTAGGAATGTGTGCAAGCTACATTCTGTTAATTGGCTGAGACATTGATCAAAAGAAGATGAGAACACCCAGCTTTGGATATGTTGTAGTGTTATTTCAGCAAGAAAAAAAACTCAAACACTTGTTTGGGGTATTGTACTTCTTCATTGGGGTAGTAAAAACAATATCATATAGTAATACTAAAAATTGGTAACTTGTTTACAAGCATTTTTGATAACATAGCAAAGCAGTTGTGACAGTAAAACTATCATAACAGTCTAATAGAGAATAAACCAATGATGGTTAAGATATGCTAAAATAGTAAAATGAATTACTTTCAAATTTAGAGCTTTCTGTGCATGATAAAGTGTGTGTTGCAAACACAATGGGGGGGAATTTATCAAAACTGGAGCAGATTTGCATTACAACAAATCATTACTAGGCTGCTCAATTATGCAATACTAACATGATTTTGGAACTGAGCTTAAGGCCCCCTTACTATTGGTTGGCAATTATTATGAACAGCCTTATAGGCCAATAGTGAGAAATACAAGGAACAGGTCAGAGCTAAGCATCAAAAGCTGATGTCAATATTTATATAACTAAATGCTCTGGAAGCCGTCTTAAAGAGTATGTACCCCTACCAATGGTACCCTCATAGTACCCTTATAGCATACCAACATAACACCCTTTTACCTGTTAAATCTGTGGACGGGACCTGACCTGGTGAGAGGAGAGAACTGGTGAAACGGAGCAGAGGAACTGCCAGATAAGGTCGTATGAAATAGAGGGGGAGTTCCTTTAGGGTGTAGTTTGTAAGTGGGTAGTGGCTAGTTTAACCACCAAGGGCGGTTGTATAATTTAACCCCAGTACTGTAGAATTGTAATCCCAGTACTGTAGTATTTTAACCCCAGTACTGTGATTTTTTAAACTGGGTACTGTAGTATTTAAACCGCAGAACTGTAGCATTGCAGTATACTTAAAACCCAGTGTAATTTAACCCAGGGGCGGTAGAGTTATTTAATACCAGGGTCGAAAGTCTATTTAACCCCGGGATAGTTGAGTAATTTAACCCCAGGGTACAAGTGTCATTTAACCACCGGAGCAGTTGCATAATTTAAACCCAGGGCATTTGTATAAATTAATATTAGGGCACTAGTGTAATTTAACCTTAGGGCGCTAGTGGAATTTAAGCCAAAGGCGCTAGGGCAGTCAAACCCCAGAGCTCTAGTTCAACTTAACCCCAGGGCGCTAATTTAATTGAACCCAGGGCGCTATTGCAATTTAACAGCAGGGTGGTATTGTAATTTAATCCCAGGGCGATAGGGTCATTTAAACCCTAGGGAGGTAGTGCAATTATACCCGAGGAAGGATGTATTTTAATTTAACCACAGGTATTGAAAGAGCCACTTGAGAACCGCTAAACATACATAAATAAATATACAAATAATTAATCCTATACATTAAAAAAAAGTAAGTAAAATAAAAAAAGGGTGGAATAAAATAATGTCTTCCATGAGTGGGTATGCTACCAGGTGCATGTCGTGCGCAATGTATGCATTCCTTGAACATGCGTTCGAGGAATACATTTGCGCTAGATGTGAGCGAGTTGTTTGTTTGGAAACCCAGATTCTGGATCTAAACAAGAAACTGGCAACACTAAGGAGCATAACCATCATGGAAAAGAGTCTGGACATAACGCACCAGGCTGTCGTGAAGGGTGGTCTGGATGAGGAGGGGGGATCGGAGGAGCAGGATCCTGAGGTGGGTAGCTGGGTTGGTGTTAGAAGGAGGGGTCAGAGGAAGGAAGAGTGCGGGAGAGGTCAGCCCTGATCTGATTCACCCCAATAAATATGCCAAGTTGCAGGATGTTGGGGATATTAGTTCAGGGGGGGGCACTGCTGGAGCAGGACGCATCCTCCATCCGCAGGGGGAGTGACTGCTCCGGCGAGGATGGGAGCCGGATGGAGGGTCATGAGAGGCAGATCCTGGTGGTGGGAGATTCCATCATCAGGCGAACTGACAGGGTAATCTGTCATCGGAGCCGCGAGCGTCGAATAGTGTGCTGCTTACCGGGGGCCCGTGTTCGACACATTGCGGAACGAATTGATAGATTACTAGATGGGGTTGGGCACGACCCCGTTGTCATGGTGCACATCGGCACCAATGACAAAATAGGAGGAAATTGGAGTGTCTTAAAAAAGGAGTTCAGAGACCTAAGTGCTAGACTGAAGGAAAGGACCTCCACGGTAGTATTCTCAGAGATACTGCCGGTGCCACGAGCCACTCCGGACAGACAGCGCGAGTTGAGGGAGCTTAACGAGTGGCTCCGGAGCTGGTGTCAGAAGGAGGGATTTGGTTTCCTGGAGAACTGGGCTGACTTCACAGTCGGCTACCGGCTCTACAGCCGAGACGGGCTGCACCTTAATGGGGAAGGTGCAGCATTCCTGGGGGGAAAAATGGCAGAAAGACTGGAGGAGCTTTTAAACTAGATAATGGGGGAGGGGGAAAAATAGAATTACATAAATTAAATGATGATAAACTAAACATGGATAAAAATAATACAGAAAGAAGTAACAGAGGGGTAAATAGTGGGCTCACTCCAGTCAACACAGTTAACATAGTCAAAACAGTCAATGTAGTAAATCCTTTGGCCAAAGTTAATATAATTAGAAATGACGACCTATATCAAGGCAGAATAATTAAAATAGTGGGGAACAAGAAGGAAATAAACTTTTGTCCCATAACAAGACAGGAATTAAATGTATGTACACCAACGCTAGAAGTCTAGCAAATAAATTAGAAGAGCTTGAAATTAGGCTACTCAAAGAGCACTTCGATATAGTGGGTATAGCGGAAACCTGGCTAGACGGCACACATGATTGGGCTACTAATATAGAGGGGTATTGCATCTACGTTAAAAATAATCTAAATATGCATATTTAGGGACAATATCACGTCAAATAATGGAGAAGATGTGGAAACCTTATGGCTAGATCTAGATATGACGGACAATAGCCGCAAACTTATTGTGGGTATCTGCTATAAACCTCCAAATATAGGGGAGGAGGCGGAAGCAAATCTACACTCCCTAATAGAAATAGATGGGAGGGAGGGCATGTAGTCGTGATGGGCGACTTCAATTACCCGGACATCAATTGGGCAAATTGCACCCCAGGTTCTACAAAGTCGGGCCATTTTATGAACATGTTGCGAGACAATTTCATGGAACAGATGGTGGAGGTTCCAGCTAGGAGAAATTACTAATCGTCACTAATAATGCGGAGTTAATTGAGAATGTTGTAATTGGGGAGGCACTGGGTAATAGTGATCACAATGTGATTACTTTCACTATTGAATACAGGAAAGGGGCGTGGGCTAGACGGACAAGAACCCTAAATTTCAGAAGGGTAAACATTGATAAGCTGCGCCACCTAGTGGGGGACATAAAATGGAAAAACTTATTTCACAACCTAAACTCGGACCAGATGTGGGACAGTTTTAAGAACACATTACATATGGTTATTTCTAAGTGCATACCTTTGGGTAACAAAAGAAAAAGATCAAAGACTAAACCTAAATGGCTAAATAAAACTGTAAAACAACACATCAAGGCCAAGAGAATGGCATTTATAAAATATAAGATGGAGGGGACGGCATTGGCGTTCCTTAACTACAAGGAATGTAATAAAAGATGCAAACGAGTAATCCGGGAAGCTAAAATAGAGTGCGAAAAACATATTGCCACAGTTAGTAAAGAAAAAAAAAAATTCTACCAATATATTAATAGTAAAAAGGTGAGAAAGGAACAGATAGGCCCAATAAAGGACGAAAACGGGAAGTTAGTCACAAATGACAAGGAGAGGGCTGAGGCGCTGAACACTTTTTTCTCCTCAGTATACACTCAGGAGGGAAATGGGCTTGACGTCCATGATAAAACATATAGTTCAACAAAAAATATACCTATGTGGTTGACGGAAACCGGGATACAACAAAGACTTAAACTACTTAATGCAAATAAAGCAGTGGGACCAGATAATTTACACCTCAAGGTACTTAAGGAACTAAGCGAGGTTATTCCTCATTTTTAAGGACTCCATAATGACCGGTAGAGTCCCAAATGATTGGCGGAGGGCTACGGTAGTTCCAATATTCAAAAAGGGGGCAAGATGCCAACCGGGGAAATACCGACCAGTTAGTCTTACATCGGTAGTTTGTAAACTGCTGGAGGGCATGATTAAGGACTATTTGGTAGAATTTGTTCAGAATAATGGCATAGTTAACGACAACCAGCATGGGTTCAGGAAAGACCGTTCCTGCCAGACTAACTTGCTAACTTTTTATGAGGGGATAAGTAGAGATCTAGATGGAGGGAGACCTGTGGATGTGGTATATCTGGATTTCTCAAAGGCTTTTGATACGGTACCACATAAACGCATTCTACACAAGCTGAGATCTATGGGCATAGATGAAGTGGTGTGTACGTGGATAGAGAACTGGCTACGCTGACGCGTACAGAGAGTATCCATAAATGGAACCTTTTCAGACTGGGCTAGTGTCATGAGCGGTGTGCCTCAGGGCTCTGTGCAAACATGTAAATAGTCATGTTTCAGTGTTTGCAGATGATACAAAAATAGGGAGGGTCCTAGAATTGGACCAAGACAGTATAACACTACAGGAGGACCTGGATAAAATAGGGGAATGGGCAAGTATATGGCAGATGAGGTTTAATGTAGATAAATGCAAAGTAATGCACTTTGGGAATAAAAATAAACAAATGGGTTATACAATTATGGGTGTCCCACTAGGGAAGTCAGAAATAGAAAAAGATTTGGGGGTCATGGTAGACCACAAACTGAATGGTAGGGGACAGTGCCAGGCTGCTTTAAACAAAGCAAGTAGAGTCATGTCCTGTATTAAGAAGGGGATGTATTGTAGAGACAAGTCTATAACTTTACCACTTTATAGATCGCTGGTTTGGCCTCACCTGGAGTACGAGGTCCAGTTTTGGTCACCAGTACTCAGAAAAGATGTCCTTGAGCTTGAGAGAGTCCAGCAGGGAGCAACCAAACTAATTAGGGGAATGGAGAACCTGAGCTATGACACAAGACTACAAAATGTAAACATGTTCACGTTGGAAGTAAGGAGATTAAGGGGGGATATGATTTTCATGTACAAGATGTTCAATGGTGACAGCAACATTAGTAACAAACTCTTTAAGATTAATTCCATAACAACAACTAGAGGCCACCACCTAAAATTAGTGGGGGAAAAATTTCAGCACAAGGGGCGAAGGGAGTTCTTCACAGTAAGAACAGTTAGAGTCTGGAACTCACTGCTGCCGGCAGTGATTGCAGCTAAAAGTGTGGAATTGTTTAACCCCTTCATGACGGGAGACGTACCATGTACGTCCCGTCACGAAGTGCCTATATGACTAGCCACGTACACTGTACGTGACGAGTTATATCAGGCTTTGTAATGCTGGTAACAGCTGATTCTCAGCAGTTACCAGTCATTAATGAATGCCTCAGTATTATGGCATTTATTAATTAAATAATTAAGCTTTTTGTAAAAGCTTCTTCCTTTCATTAATGAAATAATAAAGCCATTACATGCAAATACAGGACCGCAAGTTGCGATCCTCTATTTGACATCTGTTACATATGTGATAAAATTATATAGCCCTATCTGTCCTCTAAAAAACTATATATAATATGTGTGGGTACATTTAGTAAGAACGTATATTACTGCTGTGGAAGAATCACACAGCAAAAATGTAAAAAGTGTGTCAGTCATTTATGAACAGAAATTGAAAACTAGCTGAGTCATGAAGGGGTTAAGAAACTTTTGGACGATTTCCTGAGAGACCGTAATATACAGGGGTACAAATACGCCTAAGAATGAGAGGAAAATAGGTTGGACTTGATGGACTTGTGTCTTTATTCAACCTCAAATACTATGTAACTATGTAAATATACCATTTCAGATTTTTTTGTTTTTAAAAAAAACAGCTTGTTGGTCCTGCTAGAAATCTTGTGAGCTGACAACGTTGTTTGCTGCTTAACTGTTCTTAACTATCTCTAAGGAATACCAACTAAGGAACACACCTTTTCCCTATGTCATGAAGATGAGGAGAGGCCAAGGTGTTCTGTAATCCTAAAATACTCCCTGTCCTAGGGCTACCACACTGCTCCTTCATAGATCTAGTAGGCTGAGTAGGTGTTGCCACCCTATGACATGTGTTACTGGTAGGTTCTCCACATGAAGATAAAGAAAAATAGCCTGAAGTAAAGAAAACAGATACAGACACATCTGAGGACTGCTAAACTTCAATATATTACATTTTTGCCCTTGGGTTTTGATATACTTTGAAGCTTGTGGGCTTGTGCAGGCCTATTTATGTGGGTTAGGGGTCGGCAACCTTTTTATATTGTTTGTCAATTTACAAGCATTAGACAACTAGTGTGCCAGTGAACAATAGCTATATAGTTTTCATTTTTGCAATCATAGTTGTACTGCTATTGGCAGGTCAAACAGAATTATTATTATTAAAATTATTATTATTAATTTTATTATATTAACTGTTGCACACACAAACATGTTCATTTTTACTGCTACTGTGTACTGAACAGTAAACTGGATTTATAGTTTATGTGATGCCTGTCTTTTATGGCTTAGTTGTTCAAACTTATACATGAATCCAAATGCGGATTTCCATCCAAACAAGGCAGGCACACTACAGACTAGATAATAATATAATATTACGCTTTAATGACAAATATCAAATAATTTTGTGCTTTAGGTTGCTGACCCTCTGATCTAGACAAACAAATATGTATTACCATCTGAAACGTTTATTATACAATCTCTTTACTTCTATTTATATATTTTTTTTAGCACACCAATGTATTTCCAATGCTGACCTCCGTGCTGAAGGACCCCAATTTTTTCTCATACCCAAATGAATTTAACCCCCAAAATTTCCTTGACGAAAATGGTAAATTTAAAAAGAGCAATGCCTTCATGCCTCTTGCTGCAGGTATGTGCCTTGTAAATAAACATTTATTGTAATTATTATTATTATATAGGATTTATATAGCGCCAACAGTTTGCGCAGCACTTTACAATATAAGGAAGATATTAAGGAAGACAATACAAGGAAGACAATATAAGGAAGACAATACAATTCAAGACAAGATGGTAAGGAGGGCCCTGCCTCTGAGGGCTTACAATCTAAAAAGGAGGTGCCAGTCATACATGAGGAGGTAGCTGTGTGAGAATGAATTGTTTGAGAACGTGATGGTTGAGCGGTTAGGTTGAGGTGGGATGGGCTTTCCTGAAGAGTATAGTCTTTAGGGATAGCCTAAAGGCAATCACAGTGGGAGATAGTCAGACAGGATGGGGTAATGAGTTCCATAGGATGGGAGAGACTCTAGAGAAACCTAGAGGCGAGTATGGGAGGAGTTGGCGAGGGAGCTGGAAAGCAGGAGGTCTTTGGAAGAGCGTAGGGGGCGGTTAGGGTGATACTTTGAGACAAGGTTTGAGATATAGCCAGGGGCAGAGTTGTGGATGGCTTTGTAAGTGGTTGTTAATATTTAGAATTTTATCCTTTGGGCAATTGGAAGCCAGTGGAGGGATTGGCAGAGGGAGGTTGCAGACACTGAGAGGTTGGTTAGGTGGATGTAATTATGTTAGGTCTGGAATGAAAGGAAACCATTAACATAAATGGCTGAGAATTTTCTGTTTTGTGTTTTTTTTAATGAAACGATAAAAGCACACAGTAGGGGGTTGTACATATCTTCCCACTTCATGAAAAGTGACATTAATGTTTGCTTAAAGGGAAACTCCAGGATTTTAAAAAGTTAACCCTTAGACTAGCCTCCACACTGCAAAATTCCTAAAATATTTATATATTTTTCAAAATGTATTGTCCAAACTCTTTTGCCACCTGCAAACTTTACTGTGCAGCCAGGCAACTCTGAATTGCTTATGCTTCCAGGCCCCATAGCAGTCTTAAGGCCTGTTATGTCTATAGCTACACCCTTGACTCTAAAGTAGCAGTAAAAACTCCAAGAGACTTCATGGTACTGGGTTTTCTCAAAGATGGTTGCAGAGAAGATCTAGACTTTTACATAGCTTTGCTCTCTAATGTTTACCCAAAGTGAAAGGATTGGTGCTGATTTCACAGAAGTGACTGTAGATATTTTTAATATAAACTACCTTTTATTCCACCACAGGTAAGAGAAACTGCTTGGGTGAAGCTCTGGCCCGAATGGAGATTTTTATTTTCATAGTTATTATCCTACAAAACTTTACACTCATGTCAGAAGTGCCCCAGGAGGATCTGGATCTTAGCCCAGATGTATCAGGAATTGGGAATATTCCAAAATCATACAAGATGGCCTTCATTCCTCGCTCAAACTGAACTCTGGCTGTAGTATTTTATATACAGGGATGGGTCCCATGGCAACTGTCCGGCCTGTGAACTAAAAATGATTCTGTAACAGAAGGTTTATTCCTTCCTTCATGAAAATAATATAGAGAAGAAACCCTTCTAACAAAATCTATGAGGACATTTTTTTTAGTCCAATATTGAAAACGTTATAAACTATAATATAAATAAAGAACTTGTTTTGTTGATGGAACTGGTGATGGATTGCACTTGTAAAAGGGCATGTTTGCTGGATGAAGGCAGCCCGATGGAGAGGACATCATATATCTCCTGTCTGGACTGTGTTTGGAGGCAAGCCCGTAAGGATGCGTATACTGGCCAGTAATACAAGACATGGACAACCAGTGAAAGATAACAAATATGTGATACACACTCAACTTTTGTAACTCTATCTGCAGGATATTTTTATACAATCATGCTTACTGTGGGTACAAATATTAATGGTTATAAGGACTATTATGGGCCATGATACATTGTAGTGCTTATACTGACATATATCTTATGGGAATGACAGTGAAGACAGTGTAGCTTTGCGGATCTAACTGGTATAACCGGAAACAACAAAGCACCTTCTGTATATGTGAACTAATTTCAAGAGCTGACTTGCATAAACAGTGCAATAAATTACATGGGACTGTTCTGACCGAAGAAGAAAATACAGTCCCGTGTTATCAATTCTTAAATGTGATGGCTGCATTAGATTTATTTTTTTAGCTTTTTTCCCCCAATGATTCAGCGAGTAGTAGCACATTTCAAATTACGAGGCATTCTCTAAATGCACCTCTCTGCCAAGCGAATGACTCCCTGTGTTTTCAGGGGAAGTCATTCAGCACAGAGCCAGTACCGGACCCAGAAGATCCCTGTAAAGCAATCTAATAGCTCTACAGTGTGTAGGATCCTTACAGGTATAAAATATGTATACTTACATTGGGCCAAAATGAAATACATATATGAGAACGGTTTTACCTGCCAAAGGATTTGTATTTCTGTCCATCCAGGTCCTGAGACTTACACAGCTCTGCCACACTGCACAGTTATGCCTGTCTGTTTATCTATTGCACTAAAAGTGGAATTAAACCCCCATACAACAGTAATATACATAACACAATATTGCATTGTTATTATTATTATTGCATTATTGCACTACTACATTGCAATGTGACCCCCTTCCATTGCTGGCACTTCCATCCTCACCTGGAGTTTTTAGCCATCTTGCTTCATAACGGTCATGTAACTCCCGCGCATGTATACAGGGGTTACTTTATCCTGGTACAGATTTGTGCCGGGGCTGTACACTAAGCTACACATGCACAGCTCTTATAGGGAAAACAAGTATAACAGGTAGGTAAACGCATCTATGACAGAAGAGACATACACAGTCTCTTGTCATAAAAAAAAAAAAAAAAGCTTATTTATCTTTTTTTTTTAAGAGACATTTACAGGTCTTGTCCTTCCCCCAGCCTGTGACTGGACATGAAAGGAGAAGCAGCAGACTGATAAGCTCATCTCTGTGTCACTCTGCATTCTCCTCCTATCAGGATATCCCTTAGTAGCACATGCTTAGTCAAATTTAGGGGTACAGGAATAGCAGTCTCAGGTTCAGTCATGTTCGTAACAGGGCCCGACCTGCCATCATCTCACACTGCAGGCAACTGCAAGATCTCTACTATCACAAAACTTCAACCGATATCTACTATCACAGGGTCTGTTTTTTAGTGTTTAAAGGAGAACTCCAGGGAAAACTTTTTTTTTTAACCCTGACGTAGGGCCACACTGCAAGAGTTAAGGGACATAAATTAGAAAGTTATACTCACCCGATCCTTGCAGCCGACTGTCTGTTAGACTGGTCCCTGCAGCCTGTCTCCTCCTCCGCTTCAGCGATGGCATGTCCTATGACTTCATCATGTGTGTGTGTGTTTTGGACGTGATGACTCACAGAACCTTAGACTGCGGAAGCAGATAGGGAAAGAGGCTTCAGGGATCAATCTAACAGACAACTGACTGCAAAGATCAAGCGAGTATAACTTTTTAATTTTAGCACCAAGATAAAAACAAGCACTTAACCCTTGCAGTGCACGGGTTCCCCGATTGCAAGGGTTTAAACATTTTTTTGTCTAGAACTTTTCTTTAAATCAATGACTCAACAGTGCAATGAGACTTCCACATTTGCAAAGCTTCACTCCAGACTGAGTTATGTAGTCAGCTATTTCAGGGCTCAAAATTTCAAGTCCTGAGCTAATAGCCAGGCCTTAAGAGTTACTCGCCACCAGTTGCTCCACCTAACCCCCTACCCTGCCCCGGCCTTAACTCCGCCAGGTCAGCCGTGTGACACAGAGTACAGAGATCAGTAACAACGCAGAGTGCAGAGGCCAGTGGTGTAATGCCGAGAGTAGAGACCAGCCAGGTTGACGCACAGTACAGAGGCCAGCTGTGTAATGCAGATTACAGAGGCCATCGGTGCTACACAAAGTACAGAGGACAGCGGTATGATGCACAGAACAAAGGTCAGCAGTACAGAGGCCAGTAATCTAACGCAGAGCGCATAGATCAGCGGTGTAATGCAGAAAAAAGAGGGACTTACAGTGCACAGTTTATCTGATTCTGGTGCTCTCTTCCTCTTCTGGTGGTGATGGGGTGGGCTTCCGGTGGTGATGGGGTGGGTGGGGGGTGCTACAGCGGTGTTGCCTCCATGTACAGAGGTGAAGTCTCCAGCAGCCTCATTGAGCCTCTCTTCAGGTCCTGCGTTGGAGAAATGTACAGAGAACAGAGGTCAGCAGTATGCCGCACAGTACAGAGATGAGTAACAATGCAGAGTGCAGAGGTGTGACACAGAGTACAAATGCCAGAGGTATGGCGAACAGTACAGAGGTCAGCAGTACAGAGGTCAGTAATGTAATGCGAAGTACAGAGGTAAGCAGTACGACACGCAGTACTAAGGTAAGCAGCACAGAGCTCAGTAATGTAACGTACAGTACAGAGGTAATCTGTATGACGCACAGCACAGAGGTCAGAAGTATGATGCACAGCACAGAGGTCAGCAGTATGACGCACAGTACAGAGGTCAGTAATTAACGCACAGTACAGAAGTCAATAATGTAACACACAGTACAGAGGTCAGCAGTATTACGCACAATACATAGGTCAGTTATGTAACGCACAGTACTGAGGTCAGAAGTATGATGCACACTACAGAGGTCAGTAATGTAACGCATAATACAGAGGTCAGTGGTGTAAGGTAGAAAGAATAGGGACTTACATTTCAGAGGTGCCCTCTTTCTCTCCTGGTGGTGGTGGTGGTGGTGGTGTGGGGGGGGGGTTGATACAGCAATGTATCATCCATGTCCCAGGTGTCCTGCCTCTCCCGCACTAGTAGGGGCCGGAGTGAAGACAGCCACACTGATTCTACTCCTTCTGCAGCAGCGATCGCCGTATCAGTTCTCTCTCCTCCTCGGAGGAGGAGAAGAGAAAAATGACACAGTGATCACCACTGCCGAAGCGGCGGCAGCTTCCCGCTGGATTTTCCCCCTGGATTTTCACTCGCCCCCACGCAATTTTCACTCACCGATTGCGAGGGGGGCCAGTGGAAATTTTTAGCCCTGAGCTATTTTATGTCTTAGGGTGGCTCCACTCTAAGGAGCAGCCATGGAGCCACCCTAGGGCAGCAGCATTGTCTCCCTCTGGAGAGGGTAGTGTTAGATGCACTAGCAAATTAAGATGGACTTGACTAACAAATTAAAACAATTTTTAAGCAGTTAAAGAAACAGTTTGTCCTATAAATGGAAAGACGTTGACCATTGTAGACACTTCTGCCAGTATTAAATGGTTATGTCAACCCTCTATCTGCCACTTTTGCTGAATAGCTTAGCATCTTAAAAGAAGTTGAAGTTGAATAAAACCTGGCTCGATCGCCAAGTGAAAATAAAGAAAAAACAATTCTAAAAATAATAATGCAGTCACCTCATTTAAAGTGACACTAAACTCAGGAGTCAGCTGTAGATCCTCAAATCATCTCTGAATTGGTGCTGACACTGTCCTTCCTTCTGGAGGGTGGCTACTTTTGTTCTCCATAGTCCCTGTGTGTGTTGTAAAGAAGTCACCTTCTCCCAACTCGCTCTTGTGATGGACTACAATCTCACGTCTAGTTATCTAATTTGTATTGAGATTATAGTTCATCGCAGGAGTGAAATTGGAGCGGTGACTACTTTACAACATACACCTGGACCATGGGGAACAAAAGTAGCCACCCTCCAGAAGGAAGGACACTGTCAGCACCAATTCTTCCTCAAGATTTGAGGATCTACAGCCGAGTGATGCACAATGAGGATACATTTTTGTTAATAGTTGCAGACATCTCAACTCTCCCGGATGTTCTGGGAGTCTCCCGTTATAAGATAGCGGCTCCCAGACACCTGGGAGAGAAACATTTTCTTCCGGAAAGGTTTACTCTGCTTTGTTTAGCAGAGTAAACCTTTCACTGCTGTCTGTTTTATAGATAGCAGGGAAGGCACCTCCCTGAAATGAGCAGGGCACCTCCCTGAATTTACTTATTTTAAGATATAACTGGTGAGTTTAGTGTCACTTAAAGGATTGGTAATTTGCAATAAAATAGTTTTTGTTTGTTTTGAGTTTAGATACCATTTACAGTAGGTAAGAAAAACATGTTTACATTTTGTAAAAAAAAAAAAAAAAACTGACCTATAATCCACAAATGTTTGTTGCATCAACCATGAAAATTGGATACCCAATGTAACAATTAGGTTCTAGTTTAGATGGATGCAATATATAAAATATTCTGCCACTGGTATCACCACTGCCAAAGCTGTTTTTCTATGGGCCTAGTTCTGGGGTCATAAAACATTCTTTACATTAATAGTAATCTTCTGGGTAGACTATACCTTAGGTGGTCTGTATACGCTGGTTTAGTGCATAATAAGCAATTGTAACAAACGTTTACCCCTTATATAACCTGTTACACCACACACCCAGGGTTGTCCCAATTAATATACACGGTAAAAGATAGGCTTTGTGTGTGATTGCCTGCAGCCTTG